CGTTGTTTTGCGTATCCTCGAAGTGGGGAATATTTAACGACATGTGTCTTGCAAAAGTGCGACACTTTTGGTTTGATACACGTATCGTTGTTCTTGTTTCCACAGTGCTTGACCACGCGCTTTGTGGCACCTCTACCTCTTGGAAGAAGTTCCGAAGAAGACCACCGTACCTGACAGCATCGAGCCATCTGATAGAAATCGACACTCAGCGATGAAAGCAATCGCCGCAATGAGAAGCTGCAACACATAGTTTCCTTCGCGCCAATCCCCACTTTGGAGGGTACTCGTGGCCATGCAACGACATCAACAATTGACCCACCAGCGACTCTAGTGTCTGACTTACCGTTCGGACGATCTGTATTCTCGAGTACGCACGCAAGGGCGACCTGGCGCGGTTTGTTTCAAAGTAAAAGGCGCCGCTGGATTTGCCATGTGTGACCAATGGGGTTGAGTAGTCATCAAATCGAAATGACACGGTAGGTCGTGCAGGCATAACTAATACATCCGAGACGTGCCCAAAGTGAAAATTGTTGATGAGGGTGGTAGCAGCCGTGATTCCGATTTCAAGGAGGAGGTTGTAGATGGCGACAGTTATCCAGAGTTTATATTAGGTAGATTTATAACTACACAACCACCCAAACTTGGTGAAACGACTCGTGGTCAAGAACGCACACTTGCCCGGTATTGTATGCAAGTTATAATACCTGGCCGCCTAACTGGCGAAGTCCATTACCATTGCAACGAAGAGGTCGAACCGAATCCAATTTATAAGGCCTATCGTCTTACTGATCGGCGTTTAGATGAAAATGAATACCGGTACTGGGTTCTTAAGGCGGGGGCCCATTGGGGGCATTTGTGAATGCGTAGCCGCTTACTTGAGTATGGTCGAAAGAATCGCGGAGACGCTTTAGATTTGCTGCATGAACTACAAGAGCATTGTTGAACGTGAAAAAACATCACGCTCGCAATACATTTTTGCGAAAACGACTTCTCGATCCACTTCTTGTCATATGGTTTCTGTACGAAATTTCTGAGCGCAGAGCGCTCCACGTCTGAATAGCGAAACAAAATAGGGGAAGGGTGTGCGATGGCTGCAATATCATGTCGTGCTAGAGAGGACAGACGGGAGGAAGCCCATCCGTAGCTCTTCTGGTATGGCGTCTGAGAATTCGAACTAAACGCGCTGAATAATCTCCAGTGTTTTTTGCTGCTACAATGGCCTCACTTGTCTCTATCCCCACCCCACCCCTAGCCATAAAGTCTCCAGTGCCTAGTCCAGATATAAGCTCATTTCCACTGATCACCTTACACTCGCGAAGATTGGCGCGAGACGTACTCTGGATCCATCATCCGGCTTTTCGTATCGGACAACTGATTCTAGTTACGCCCCCCTCCCTCCCCCACGCTTTCCCAATACACGACACGACCGTATAATCGTTGGGAAAAGGCTCTCGAGATTCTCGCGTTTAGGGTGAATGAACGAACGCCAGTAAGGCTTCCAAGGGCTTTTGTGGAATGATGTTAAAAAAAAAAACTGCAGCACGTTTGAATCTAAGCACATCATTTTACAAGAAGGACTTGGATCGGCCATGCCTTACTCGGATGACGAAGTTGAAGCGAACTACCGTGATTTAAATATATGCAGCCGTGGTGTCTTGTCCACCCAATTGGGTAGGAAAGCATGGTGAGTTGTCTCCTTTGTGCCGTACACGGAAGGAATAACTAGCCTTCACCACCAGCCAAATATAATTTATTGAGAATGACTAAGCGTATTGCGGACCTCGCGGGACATAATTACTCGCTACTAAAAAATGTCGTTTCAGTGCAAACGTAATGCATTATATGCCGTTTAACTTCGACTACTAGGTGCCTTGGGTTGGCTGTTTCAAAGCTGCCAACGGCGCACGCTGAATCAGACAGCACCCATCCTCGAATGACCCGCTTAATTGAATGAGGCATTCTTAACTAGCAGCGGCATAATTTTACAGGGACCGGTTAACCACAGTCACTGTTGTGTTTTGGTTTAGTGGCCCCATCTCTCATGCCAAGAGGCTGGCAAACTGCCGTACTGTTTGTAGGTAGAGGACACATAATAGCGTTAGCCTCCCATTTGAAAGTTGCTGTCCTTTTCCCAACACGTGATAATCGAAATTGTCGGCAAGAAGGACAGAATGTGTATCTTTTTCGAATTTTAACAGTTCTTTAGCATCAATTGTCTAACGCTTTATCCATCCAGTCGTTTCCAGAACATAGTACTGTAGACGTGTGCTTGGCCTTGTGAGTAAGTTGGCAGCTCGTCGTTCCCAATTGTTCCCCAGGCTTGACCTTCACGATGAAGAGAATTTGTGATATCTTACCTGTAAGAACTTGTTAATCTAAAAACAATAGCATCAAAACAAAAAGCGTACCATCAGCTCAAAATTGTTTACCCTTTCCTGGTCAATGGGGGCATTTTGCCCCCTTTGGAGGGCGTATCCTTGAGTATCACTCGTGTCACCCACGAATGGGGGCAAAATGCCCCCTTTCATTATTTTTTGTGTGTTGGACGAGGCGGATTCGCCCTTTCTACTTGAACTAC